AGCTACTCCGACGCCAATAACATAACAACATAATGGAGGACTTCAACAGCGAGACGGATAGTGACTACACCAGCTACTGGCGTGACTGGGTAAGTGGAATTTCCTTTTATTATGGTACTGCGGCTGGGGGTAGATCACATCGCCGGGTCAGCACAACGAGCGCGTGAGAAGGCCGCGGCCTTATTGTGAATAGCGTCCCAAACGGGAAGGCAGTGACCTTGTGATGGTATGTCTCGCCGTGCTCACCAATTTCGCCTTTATGAGACGAAAGCTACGCCATTTTGACCGTCTTCGTCACTACCTCGCTCTCCTCGCTCTCACTTCACACTCAAATCCGCCTCGCCTTCAACCTCACAATGGCATTTCTACCATCCTCAGCTATTGTCTACTTCCTGGCCATCTCCCTCCAGGGATTTGCTCTCCGTCTGGGACGCCATGCGGTGGGGCTCATGGGCAAGGGCCAGCACTCGCTAGCGGCGAGATATTACCTCTTGGTATATCTCTTCTGTTGTGTTACCGGTGCCTTGGCCGTGGTTGCTTGGACACTCAGTAAAATTGAGGAAAGCCAAGCCGAATTTCACGATGGCCCTTTCATCCCAGATGCTGAACATGTCCCCGGACCCGGCCCTGATGCTCTGGCTTCCAATGGCCAGGACTGTCATACAGTTCTGGACACGGCGCAGCCTGGCATTAGAAGTGGAAGCGCTGACCATGGCCATTGCGATTGCTCCCCTGATGCCAATGCCGATGCCAATTTATGGATGATGAAGCTAATTGCAATTGTTACCTCTGCTCAGTTTGTTTCCTCTCGCGGCAACGAGTACTTCTGTGAAATTGATGAGGACTATTTGACCGATCGTTTCAACCTCACTGGCTTGAACACTGAGGTTTCCTACTATCAATATGCTCTTGACCTTGTGACCGATGTTTTTGACCTCGATGCCGATGATGACCTCCGCGAGCAAATCGAAAAGTCCGCCCGCCACCTTTACGGCTTGGTCCATGCCCGGTACATCGTGACCACTCGCGGTCTCGCTAAAATGGTAAGTTCAACCTGGCAATATCAATGAGGGACCACATACTAACATCCACCCAGCTTGAGAAGTACAAGAAGAGCGACTTCGGCAAGTGCCCTCGTGTGATGTGCGATGGCCATGCTCTGTTGCCTGTGGGCCAGTCCGACATCTCCAACCAGAGCACTGTCAAACTGTACTGCCCTAAGTGTGAAGATATCTACAACCCCAAATCCTCTCGCCACGCATCCATCGACGGCGCCTACTTTGGCACCTCCTTCCACTCCATCCTGTTCCAGGTGTACCCTGCCCTCAACCCCGAGAAGAGCGCCCGCCGTTACGAGCCCCGCATTTATGGCTTTAAGGTGCACGCCGCAGCTGCGCTTGCTCGCTTCCAGGACGGCAACCGCGAGGAACTGAAGTGGCGTCTCGCCGAGGCTGGCATCAACCACAAGTTCCTCGAGGACAGTGATAGCGATGAAGATGCCTTTGAATACGACGAGGAAGCCGAAGCTGCCGAGCCAGCCAAGGCCGAGCGGGTCATCGGCGACGCCGCATCTGGTCGCATGGATATCGGCAACTAATCCTGCTATTTCCTGAAGCTGCTACCATTCTTCCATGAGCAAGAGTACGGCGCAATGAGGGATTTCTGATGTCTTCTTTTGAGATGTGTTTACGAACGGCGTTGTCAGGCTTGCATGGCCAATCTTCAATGGTTTTTCTTTTTTTCTTCGACTTCGCTTGTATCTACATTATTTGTCTAGTCCACGCCGTGAAGTAGGACTCAATAACAACGAAACATCGTTCCATCTGACATATATTCATGAAATCGCGTAGATGCTAAACATGATGGGTATACGCAGTTTCGATGCAGACTATTTACAGTCGCCTGGAATGCTAGAGTTATTTCGTACCATCACGAGGAGTCAGGTTCATCGCCTGTAGTTCTTCGAATGCATAGACCACTGCACGAGCAAGCTGATCCCCCTTCTCCCACGCCTCGTCATGCCCACCGCTGATCGGCAACACCCGAACTCTGCGGTCCTTCGTAGACAACTCATGCACGGGGATTTGAGCCTCAACCTTCTCCCACCGTCTCAGCACCTCCTCCATAGCCTCAACCTGAGACGCACCAACAAGCTCATCATCCTCGGACTGCGCCAGAACAGCCAACCGCCCAGATCTCCAGCCACCCTCCACACCCCGCGAGCCAGCCATCTGCGCCGGCGAAACCGCATCCCAGAGCAACTCATCCGCCCCGAACGCACCTTCAATGAACTCCCGATACGCCGAGATCCCAGCATTCATATCGCGCAATCGTCTCAAATCATAGATACCAGCAACACCAACAATAGCAGTCGGCTGCACAGTCAAACGCGGCGGCAGTGGACCAGGCGAAGTAGAAACAGGCCCGAGACTAATATCAAGCTTATTCATGTCCCCCTTGAACGCCTGCTCACGATGTCCCGCAACGGCCCCCATGACAGCCTGGAAAGCAAGCGTCGCACCGCAGCTATGCCCAACAAGAATATAGCGCGCGCCGAAGATATACGTATTCTGAAGAAAGGCCAGCGCAGCCTCTACATCGCGGATATGATCTGGATGTTTCGCATCCCGGAATTCTTTCGGTCCGGTACTCGTTGGGTCTTGGGGGTGGTTTGGGTGTGCGCTTAGTCGGTAGGAGATTGATGCGATTCCGGCAATTGGGAGGCCTGGTGTTTTGCGCAAGATCTCTTCCGTTGCTTTGAATGAGTCTGCCGTTACTGTTGGGTCGCGCCAGGCGCCGCCGTGGATGTAGCTGCGTAGAGTTCCCGATCAGTTGATTGCGCTCGTTTTGGTTGCGATTGGGGAGGTTTCGCGTACATTACCCAGTACCCATCGGTGTTGTCAAGCGTTGTCACGGAGATATGCTGCAGATCATGGACTCGGCCGTAGGTTACGGTCTTTGCAGGTTGGTTCGGCATCGTGTGGGAGGTTTAGGAGATGATGTGCCATTGATGGGGAAGTGGGACAGAGACTATAGTTGGGATGGTTGACAGGCTACTGTACCATCCATGATAGAAGGAGATACCTCTATTCGACATGTATAAAATGTCGTTTCTATACTTCGTTTTTATATAATAAATAAACTCAACTTTGCAAAAAGAAGAATGTTGAAATATACGTGTATTGCCCCTCGTTCTGGCGGAGACTCTGTGTATGGTATTACCTTCACACAGTACCACGCTAAGCCCGAACAGGAATGAATGGCTCCTTTCACACAAACCGATCAAGTCAACCGTCTCAACACAACTGCCCATCTGTTGCAACTCCACACAATGGCCGAGTACGTGAATCGACAACCACTTTACGATGACTATACTGACCTGCTTGCAGAACTCCCGCTTCCCTCGCGGCCGTCCAGGTCGAGGCCTTGGTACAGTCCTCCGGCGAAAATCTCCAATCTGCTCCAGAATGCTGATGATACTCCAGGTGGTCATGAAAATCATCAAGCACTGCTCCCAGACCTTCCCTTCCACTGCGACCGGCGCTCTTGTCGGTATGGATGTCGATGGCACCCTCGAAATCACGAATACTTTCCCTTTCCCCGTCGTTGAGGTCCCCGCCGAATCGCACTTTGACAACGCCGCTCCCAACCCCGCCGCCGCCGCTCCCCGGGCTAAGGCCAACGCTGCCTACTCCGGCGAGATGATTCGCATGCTGCGCGAGGTTAACACTGACGCCAACAACGTCGGCTGGTACACCAGCGCCAACATGGGCAACTTTGTGAACATGAACGTGATCGAGAACCAATTCTACTACCAGAGCCAGATGAACGAGCGCACAGTTGCCCTCGTTCACGACGTCAGCCGCAGCGCCCAGGGCAGCCTCAGCCTCCGCGCTTTCCGTCTGTCATCCAAGTTCATGGCTGGGTTCAAGGAGAACAAGTTCACCTCCGAGGAGTATGTACCCGATGTGTATAGAGGAAAATGGAATACTGACAGCCTCGCAGCCTGCAAAAATCTAACATGCGCCACCAAGACATCTTCGACGAGCTCCCCGTCCAGATCCACAACTCGCACCTGATCACCTCTTTCATCCACCAGCTGCAGTGCCCAACCACATCGGCCTCAACTGAGCTCCCTCCTTCCCTGGCCGCCCTCGAGTCCAGCCCCTTCAACAAGACCTCCACCCTCGCCCCCAACCTTGAAAACATGTCGCTCAGCATCGACCCCTTCCTGGAGAAGAACTGCGATCTCCTTCTGGACAGCATCGAGACCCACAACACCGAGGTCAACAACTACCAGTACTACCAGCGTGTGCTCGGCCGCGAGCAGCAGAAGATCAACAACTGGAAGACGAAGCGCGCCCAGGAGAACGCTACCCGCGCCACCCTCAACCAGCCCCTCCTCCCCGAGGACGAGTGGCAGCGTCTGTTCAAGCTCCCAGCTGAGCCCAGCCGCCTGGAGAGCATGCTCAACACCCGCCAGGTGGACCAGTACGCCCGCCAGGTCGACAGCTTCGTCTCGTCGAGCACGGGCAAGATGTTCGCCATCAAGGGCAACCTGTTGCCCAACGAGGTTTTGAAATAAATGTGATGATTTGCAAGGGAAGACACGATGCTTCTGGGATTGCATGACCTTTTTACGGCGTAGGGAGGGAAAATGTTCTCTATTTGGGATGTTAATATGACTTCCTTTTTTTCTTCTATCTGTGATGAGCGGATCCGAGTTTCTCTGGATATGTGACTCTGGTGTGTGCATCGTTTTGTATTCAGTCATAGAAGGAAAATTATACTTTTTTCAGATTCCAACTATTCACCTGCATTGATCTGTCGGAAGATACAATTTAATACTGAGTATATCGGGTTGGCCGCCCTCGAGGTAATGTGGAGATGGAATCTCACATCTTGATGACATATTGAAGAGAGATTCATATATCCTACAGCATATGCTCTCATTCCCGCTAAATCATACTTAGACCCCCATAAATCATTCAACAATAGCACTACCACTCACCCCCAACAACCAACGGAACATGCAAAAACCTAAAACCAGACTCCTCAACCTTGGGAAGCCTACCAGCCCGAATATTGATCTGCAAAGACTGATGCAACAACCTAGGAGCCTTAAGACCACCATCGCGCTCCCTCCTCAACGCCACAAACTCCTCTTCACAAATCCCCTCCTTAAGATGCTTATTCAACGTCTTATGATCTCGCACACTCATCCAAGGCACAGGCTCACTCCGTCCTTCTGGCGGGTAATCATGACCCGTCCAGATCTTGTAGTGATCTGGTAGACTTAGCAGTTTGCGCCCTGAGGCGTAGAGATCTCGTGCCGAGCCGCCGGGGAAGTCGCAGCGTGCTGTTCCTATATCTATGTGGAAGAGGCTGTCGCCGCAGAAGAGGTTTTCTGGGGCTCTTTTTAGTATTTGTGGGAGAAACGGGCAGGGGTGGAATGGAATGCTTCTTTTACCTCCAATCATATATCCCAAATGATCAGGCGTATGACCAGGAAGGTGAATCGCCTTCGCACTCAACTCTCCAATAGAAAAGACTTCATCGTCATCGAAGAGTCTATCGAAAACGCGTACATATTCTTTGGCTGGGACGCCGTACCGCTTGGCAAACAGAGTCTGTACTTGTTCGATACGTTTGCCAATGCAAACGGGCGGTTTGAAGCCTTGATCAGTTGCAAGGCGGGTTTGGAGATAGGACGCAGCAGTGAGGTGATCTGCATGCGCGTGCGTTTCGAGGATTTTGTCGATTTTGTAGCCCATCTCTTTGGCTTTTGATAGGATGGCGTCTGCTGCTTCGGTTGTTATGGCTTGGGTTGCTGAGTCGTAGTTTAGGACTGGGTCGATGATTACTGCTTTTGAAGTTTTGGGGTCGGCTACTAGGTATTGCCAAGTTCCGGATGTCTTTTCGAATATCTCGTGGATGGTTGGGTTGCTTAGTGTTGCTGTTGTGTATGCAGCGCGACTGGATGTGCTTGGTTGATTGTTTGACCAAGGCTTTTGGTTCCATTTCGGAATCGGGTTGGTTGTTAAATGCAGGGCCCTCTGGGTAGAGAATATATCTCTAGACGTCCTTGTTATCGAGGCTGTAGCTGCGGCCTTTTGGTGAAGTTGACGCAATGGTCTATAGCCGGGCAGCTGCAAAGCCAGGCGGGAGGTGCTGCACGCTCTATACATAATCGGTGTCACTTGCCGTTTCATGCTAGATGACTGTCGATAAGTATCGATCATGATACGCCAAATTTAAACATTGAAAATATGGAAGCACATAAATGCCCGGGTTAGGTCCCTTTCCATACAAATCGAGCTATGTGTCATCCAAGGTCGCCGACTCGGTGAGCAAGGTCGGCGAACATTCGGCGATTGGTATGAATCATGTCACTTCAGATGGTTCACAGTCCCGCCACTTGTGGCAATTTACCGTTATATCCCCTATCTCCATGGCTGTTCCTGCGTAGCTTGGGATGACCCGGAAACAGACTCGGTCTCGGGCCGCATTTCTCCGAACTATTCAGCTACACTCACGTATTAACATCTAGGCGTAGCAAACATAGTGGCTAGAACCTATCTTCGAGACATTACTCTGAAGCACCTCGAGGAAAGGTGTCTTGGGGGCTTACAATGTAGCCTGTCATGCAGCTTATCCGTGGCTTGTTCTATTTTCTTCGCCTCCTTAATACCTGGCCTTCATCATTAACCGATTATGGTCCCGATTATGGGACTATTGATATAACATCTACTCTATGTCTCGTTCAATCTCCGCAATTATAAACACAAAACAGCCAATTCCTGTAGTCGAGATGAAAGGGTCACCGATTAGAGCACAGCCACAATACTTTAGCTGTCAGAGAGAGCCAAGATAAGATGCGGGAAAGGACCCATTTATATTGCAGTTTGACCAATTAGACCTCGTTCGTGACGCATTGAGACCAAAATGAAATGAAATGCAGCTTAAAGCTAACAAAAGAGAAAAGTATACTTGACAAGGGGTATCACGTGGTGATGAACGGACTCGACTGCGCAACTTCATCTCCTCTTCCTCAACAACACCCGCAACGAGTTCGTCGTCTGCTCCTGATTACTGTAGACTCTGATTCCATCTTTTTTCAAACACGCTGGTCAAAATGCCTGGTGTTCGTGAGTGTTTCTGCCGCCATATACAGAGGATCGACCCTGTTTCTGGCATCTCACACCAAAAGCATAGCACTGACATTCCCCAGCCCCTGACGCGCTTGAGCAGGTGAAGAAGGGATTCAAGCGGCTTTTCAGTCGCAAGAAGAACAAGAAGCCCGCGCAAACATCCGAGCCTGCTGCTGCAACTGCCCCTGTGGCCGGTGAGGCGGCCGCTGCAAAGCCCACCGACCCCACTGCCACCCCGGATACTGCCCCTGGTATGATGCCATTTTCCGCCCCAAACCTTGCACACCTTGCTTCTTCTTTACCCCGAAACTAACTCATTGACTGGTTAAGACGCTCCTAAGCCAGCTGAGACAGCCCCCGCTGCCCAGGCAGATACCACTGCCGCTAAGCCTGAGGAGGAGGCCCCTGCTGCCCAATCTGAAGCCCCTGCTGCTAAGCCCGAGGCTGCTGCTACTCAGCCTGAAGCTACACCCGAAGCGCCTGCTGCTGCTAAGGTCGAGCCTCCTGCTGTTCAACCTGAAGCTGCGCCTGAGGCCCCCGCTGTTGAACCCGAAGCACCTGCTGCTAAGGCCGAGGAACCTGCTAAGGCCGAGGAGCCTGCCAAGACCGGTAATTGAACCTCTTCCCAGCGCCACAAAGCAAAGAGTAATACTAATGGTGATGTTAGATGTTCCCGCTAAATAAAGTGATTTCTCTTAGTTTGAACCACTCGGACATGGCTGCTCAGTCATGGAACACATTCTAGCATTGATGCTATCTTGATATTACACGACTTGAGGCTGCTTACTATACATAATAACATTTTATACCTTGATATACCAATTTCATAATACTTTTGAGCTGAAAGGAAGACATGGAATTTTCATCAATGTTGGAGGCCTTAGAAAGACATAGATAGTCTCTCTAAAATAGCTATCTAAGTTCAGCATTGGCTGCCAGCTTGGCAAGTTCTGTTTTACAAGGAATCGAATATGTTCTAGTCTTGATGATAGAAACTATCTGGCCTGTTTTAAAGTCCCCGATATCTTAGGCACATTAATAATCTACAAGGCTTGTTATTTCCACGTCCCTAAATGATACTTTTGATAAAATATTTATGCACTCTAGCCGCATGCGAGATATCTATACTCTATGTACCAGTCGGCGATAATAAAGCCAAATCACGTTAAAGCCTCATTACAGACCTCGTGAGAGTAGAAAGTGGCACGTTGTAGAAAATGAAGCCCGAATGCATGGATCGGCGATCAACCGTAGCCCCGATATCGGAGGGGGTTAATCCGGATCCCGGTGATCACGACATCGAGCTGTTCCTGGCCAGCTCAAACTTTTTTGTTGAATAGCTTCATTTTGTCACTTCAAAATGTTTCAGAGTCGTGTTTCATTAGCAGCTCGCGCTGCCCGGCTATCAATTGCTCCTCAGTCGAGGGGTCTTGCGACTGCCTCCCCCGTCAGCTCCGTTGCCCGCAACCACAAGATTGTAGTGGTGGGCGGTGGTAGTGCAGGCATTTCTATCAGTCACCAACTCCTCCACTCCGGTAAATTCGCACAAGATGACATTGCCGTCATTGACCCTGCCCAATGGCACCACTATCAGCCCGGCTGGACCCTGGTTGGCGGTGGCCTCAAGAACAAAGAGGACCTACGTCAGCCGATGAACAGCTTGGTGGATCCCAAGTTCAAATTCTACAACCAGGGAGTGGGCTCCTTCGCCCCTGCTGAGAACGCTATTACCCTCGAGAACGGCGACAAGCTTGGCTACGAGCAACTTGTCGTCGTGCCCGGCATCAGCATCAACTACGGCAACATCAAGGGTCTCCCCGAGGCTCTCGCCGACCGAAACTCGACCGTGTCCTCGATCTACGGCTATGATACCTGTGATAAGGTATTCCGCACCATCGAAAACCTCCGCGAAGGCAACGCCATCTTCACCCAGCCCGCCGGCGTGATCAAGTGTGCCGGTGCTCCCCAAAAGGCCATGTGGCTTGCATTGGACCACTGGAAACGGGCCGGTCTCTACAACCCCTCCAACCCTGCCGAATCCCCGATCAAGATCAGCTATGCTACCGGTCTCCCCGTGATGTTCGGTGTGCCCAAGTACAACGCCATCCTCGAGCAGATGCGCAAGGACCGCGGCGTCGAGGGACTCTTCCAGCACGACCTGGTTGCCATCGACGGCAAGTCTGCCATTTTCGCTTCTCCCAACGGAGAGGTCACTAAGCCCTTCGACCTGTTGCACGTGTCGCCCAAGATGGGCGCCCACGCATTCGTCAAGAACAGCCCTCTGGCCAACGAGGCTGGTATGGTCGATGTCGACGACAACACTACCCGCCACAAGAAATTCGCCAACGTCTGGTCCGCTGGTGATGCATCCAGTCTTCCGACATCCAAGACCGCCGCTGCCGTCACCTCCGAGGCTCCTGTCCTCGTTCGCAACCTCCTGCAGAGCATGGAGGGTAAGGAGCTTGACGCTTCTTACGACGGATATACCTCGTGCCCGCTCTTGACTGAGTACGGTAAGGTTCTCCTTGCTGAGTTCAAGTACGGTGGTGAGCCTAAGGAGACATTTGGCAACTGGTTCGGTATTGACCAGGGTGAGCCCCGTCGTGCCTTCTATCACTTAAAGAAGGACTTCTTCCCTTGGGTGTACCAGAACTACATGGTCAAGGGTAACTGGGGCGGTCCCAAGGGTTGGAAATGAATTATAGATTAAAAGTTTGTGTACAATAGATTGAACTGAAAAGCAACGATACCGTGAATGTATCGCACGAAGGGTTAAAACAAATGTTATATTAAATGATAAACATGAACATGAAAAAGAACATACGTCGCTGCAAGTGGGTTGTGTCAATGATATCATCGCTCATCATAGCCCCTATCGATAAATATGGACAATCTTGATCAGTGAGTTTTACACTCTGGTTAAAGTATGTTTGAATGTTTCTCTGTACTTGCTCTATAGACCTCCTTTCAACTATTCAATCATGTACAACACTCATACAGATATCTGGGTGGTGAGTAGCCCCCGATCAACCTATATCTAGTGGGTCTCGCAGCTATATGTATAGTCCACGCCAACTTTCGAGCCTACATGCACCAATGCGATATGGAAGAGTCAACTAACATGGCGTATTCAAACAGGCAGGAGCATTTGCCGCGGTAGTCGTCGACTTCGTCGTCTACCCCTTTGACACCCTCAAAACCCGCATCCAATCCCCGAACTACGAAAAAGTATTCAAAGATGCACGCACAGGAGCAGTACAGCGCAACGTGTTATTCAAAGGACTATACCAAGGAGTCTGGAGTGTTGTATTTTCAACAATACCATCATGTATGTCTTATCTCACCTTCAAATACAGAAGAGACTTCGCTACTAACTCATCCCAGCGGGCGCATTCTTCACAACCTACGAAACCGTAAAAAGCATCTTACACAATTCATCCAAATCCAGTCAAAACAGAAATCGATCTTCAACAAATGGGACCCTAGACAAATTCCATCTCCCATTCACACATTCCCTCCCAACACCCATAATGCACGGAATCGCATCCTCAACCGCCGAGATGATATCATGCCTCATCCTCACACCAGCGGAAGTCCTAAAGCAGAATGCGCAGATAATCAACCAATCCCAATCAAACAATAAAAGCACACTTTCAAATGAAGGCAAAGACAAAGGAAAAGGGAACAAGTCAGCTATGCGGCAGGTTATCTCCAAATTCAGACACCATCCCTGGCGTCTCTGGAGCGGATATACTGCATTGGTTAGTCGCAACTTGCCAACGACAGCCCTTCAGTTCCCAATGTTTGAATATGTCCGTTCCCGATTAATTGAACGGCGACGACGACGGAAAGCAGAATCTGCTAGCCGTGCTGGGACCCGCCATGATACATCAGAGTCAGGGCAGTCTGATCAGTTGATTGAACGGGCTGGATTGACTGGCCTTGCAGCTGCTATTTCGGGGAGTATTGCTTCTACTGTTACTACGCCAATCGATGTTGTTAAGACTAGAGTTATGCTTTCGGCGAGTGAGGTGCGTGATAAAGGGCCGTTTGCTGTAGGGAGGGATATCCTACGCAATGAAGGGGTTCGGGGGTTGTTCAAGGGTGGTTTGATTCGGGCGGGGTGGACGGCTATTGCTTTGGGGTTGTACCTTGGTCTTTATGAGGGCGGGCGGTTTTGGCTTGAGAAGAGGCGGATGGAGAGGGACGGAGTTGGGAGGGATGAAGGTGGGGCGGTTGTTTAGTATGAAATGGTCTTTGGTGGTTTTATCGAACGTGTTGATGATGTATGGCCAAGGAGAGAGAGCCTTGTGGCTTTTCTGTTGCTGTTGATTACCCACATGGTATCCTTAAGAGCCGGCAACTATAGCTTTGCTTAGAGATGAAGGGTTGTCTTTGTTTTCAAAGACCGATATAAAGCGGCTAAATTCATGCTGAAAAGGGATTGTGTTGCATTGTCTCGAGAAGCCTTGAACAAAGGATACAAAGAACGAAAGATCCAAAGATCACAGGAAGCTATAATTGAAGTCCTTGAGTATATATACCATGGGAATTGCCTTGAAGATAAGTTCCGCTCGAGATCATCTTAATAACTTGATTAAAACCGCGAACACCTGAAATGTCATCTAAAATTTCCCCAATGAGATCCTCGCCAGCCAACCCGCCATGGCGGAAGAACACTATGGACATCGACGAAGGCTATGAAGCTGACGACGAGTCCTCGAAACCAAGATCAGGAGACACAACCACTGCCATCTCATCTCCTCCAGTCGAAATCCAAGGTGTATTCCACTTCAAAGTCCACCGGGAATGCAGCACAATGTCCGGATCATCCGGTGAGGTAAGCCAATGGATAAACGCCTCCTACTTTCTGTGGAAGATGTGCGCTACATTAGCAGACACCGCTGCCGATCCCGAATGGACAGAGGCATTCGAACTATGGCGATCTACATGGGACCAGATCCAAGAAGAGTTACTAGTATCTGAAGATACTGGAGTTCCTGTAAAGATTCCCCCCGCGCCAGTTAACCTTGCGTCGGTCCAACCGGGTAGTGTAAGCCTGAGGGGCAGTGAAAAAGAGGATTGGGTAATTGAGATTGAACAGGAGGATGATGGTATGCTATATGACAATCAAGATATTTGGGCTCTTTGGAGACGTGTTGTTGAGTCGCCTGCGGGTCCTGCTGATGCTTTTTGCGTTATTCTTAAGGAGACTGCGAGAATTTGTCCCCTGGCATGAGTGGTTAGATCACTCTCATCTTTTCTTTTCTTATGTTCTGGTTTTATTGGTACTAGCCCCGACGCTAATATAATTTGCATTTCCCCCCTATCTCGGTATAGATAATCTAACACAGATAAGAATGTAGTTAGGATATGACATCTCCCTTGAAATCTAGGTCCTATTGTTAATCCCGTAGGGTATTGCAGACCCCCAAGCCCTGTAACCAATAAGTCTCATGCTTATATTGTCTGAATAGTCCGAATGAAACATATAAGTCTAAAAGGCGTAGTTATGTATGCGCGGTACCAGAACTCCACTACTTTGTTAGGGCTAACGTGTCGGGCTAGTTGACTTACAACAACCGACGAAACGATTAAAATCAGTATCAATTACATATTTTCAATCATAACCACACTAGGCAACTTGGCAGGTTAGTAATTTACCGAGACTAACGCTATTATGATCGCAAATGCCATAAATAGCAAAGACTAGATTAAAGACCCTTGCAGACTAGTAGTAGCACGGTGTCTTACAACTCGAGTATATAAAAAAAAACGGTGAGCCCACTCCAAATAAAGAATCCATATCCATTCCTAATCTAATACAAATCAGAAGCGCATCAAGCAAGGAAGGACGTCTGGGCGGGAAGCTGTGGGGATATACATTTTTTTTAGGTCTTTAGCGGTCTAGCTGATATGACCAAAAATGAGAAATGACCGTATTATGGCCAGTGTGACCGAGTGGTTTAAGGTGCCAGATTTAAGATTCTCCGGAATAAAACCCTGGTGGGGCAACCCGCGCGAGTTCGAACCTCGTCGCTGGCATTTTTTTGTATTTTTTATTTATTCCTCACTGTAGAAGCTGAAGCTACTATTTTGGTTCTTATTTTTTATTTAATCAATAATTTTGCTATATGATAAACGTCTGCTATAATTTATGCGGACTTGATCGTTACCCAAAAATTCATTGTATTGCTGTCTTATAGATATAAAGATTCATAGCTTGATATTCAATCTGCCAACACAAAGAAACGGCAGTCCGCTGAATATAGAGGGAAATAGAATAATATTGTCCGTTTCAACATACTGAGTCATAGTATCATATCATATCTGTCGTCACATCCTGTCCATCTGCATATCCAGACCTCGCATATAATCCAAACAAACGCTATAAGCAATGTACAAAAACAAACATAACACAAAACTGCTGCCAAACTCTTTTTAGGTTAAAAGGTCGTCAGTTTCCGGAACCAGCTTGACTTCCCTTTGGCAGCCGAACTAGCCGGAGCACCCTGCCGACTCCCAGGCTGCGACCTCATACCACGATCACGCTCGTAATCACCACTGCCAGAGCTACTCTTCACACCCTCCCGACGAGAACCCCGTCTCCGAGAACGGGCATCATCGACCTCTTCGTCGGGGTACTTAGCACGGTGACGAGCTTTCCGGCGAACAGCGCGACGAGCCTCCTCATCCGACGAGAGAGAGTGGCCATTACCGGCTTCATTAGTTGCGTCGGCAGGAGGCATGTCAATGACAGTAGGCATAATCGGCGGCGGCTCTGGTGGCTCGTCAGCTTGAGAATAGACCCACGAGGAGGTCTTGTTCTTGCCCGCGCCTGGTTTCATAGGAGTCGGCCGAGTAGATTCGGGCTCCGGTGCAGCCTTGGACTTGCGACGACGGGCTTTAGGGTCTTCTGGTGCTCGCGAGCTGCGACCTCCTCGACGGTCTACGACCTCCCGCTCGTCTGGGAGGACTTCGTCGGGGAATCGTTCTTCGACGCGGGAACGGCGGCGGCTTGCTTTCGCGGCTAGCATTTCTTCCTCGCGCATTCGTCGTCGTTCGCGGCGCTCGGCTGCTTTGGCTTCGGCGGCGGCTTCGGCTTCCCGGGCTGCTTGTTCTTCGCGGGCTGCTTCTTCCCGTGCAGCTTGTTCTTCCCGGGCCCGACGTTCCTCGCGGGCTGCTCGCCTAGCTCGTTTCTCTTCTTGCCGGCGCTCTTCTTCCTCTTCTTCACGAGCACGCTGTTCGCGTGCTCGTTCTTTTCTTCTTGCCCGTCGCTCTTCGGCTTCCCTGGCTTCGTTCTCACGTGCGATCTCCCGTGCATTCTCGCGCGCGCTTTCGCGTGCGTCCGAGGGTGCCTGTCGAGAAGCTCGCTTTGCCTTACGTGCTGCTCTGCGAGCTTCGGCTTCTTCTGCTTCGGTATCTGCGCCTCCGACTCCGCCAGCGGCATCTGTCACAAATCCTTCGGCATCGGTGTCTGGTCGGACAGATCCTCTGCGTCGATCATCGCGTCGTGGTTTACGGGCTGTTTCACGCTCTGTTTCTGTGGCATATCTCCCGTCATCATCTCGGTACGAGCGTGATTTCTTCCTTTCTGGCATTTCCGGCCTTGTACTCTTCCTGAAAGAGCCGATCAGTCCCATGATCCCTCCTGTCTCTTGCTTCTTTGGCGCCGTGTTGGAACGCTTGAGACGGCGTTCTCTTGGGGGGGCATCGGCAACACCCATATCGTCAGGTCCTGATACGACGTCTGGAGGTGGCTGTGCTTGATCTGCGTCGACCATGACCCCGTCATCATCATCCTCTGGCTTGGCGCGGGGCTGATTACAATCGTCAATACCAACTTGATAAGATTAAAGTGATTAGTTCACGAACCTGTCTCTTTGACTTGCGCTTCGAGCGACTCGATTCTTCCTTTGGTGAATGGCCCTCTGCATCCTCCTTGTCAACCATCACGAGGTCATCATCCTCGATTGCATATGGATCCCGAGCTGTTGGGTAAGTATATTGTCAGCGAAAGAGCGTGAGTGAACAGTGAGACGATAAAACCAACCTGATTTCCGCCTTTCGGTGCGCGGCCGTTCACGTCGGGACTTGGAAGCATTTATACCCATCAGCTTCGCCGCCTTATCAGAAACCTCTGGCTTTTCATCCGGAGGCGGAGTGGGCATAGAAGCCTTATCATCTTCAACTGATGGGCGCCTGGAGACTGGTTTGGATGAAGATCCATGCTTGCGAGTCGATTTGCTCCGAGATTGAGGTGTTCCCAGAACCATATTGGCCAAAGCCACGCTACGCTGATTCTTGGAGGAGCGGGCCTCGCGTTCTCGCCGTTTCTCGCGGTCAGATGCAGAGGATTTCTCGACTTCTGGGTCAGCTTCTTTTGGTCGAGATTTACTCGACTTTGTTCGCACCGCTGCGGAGGGGGACCGCTCTCGAGTTGACTCTTTCTTCTTCGGCCGTTCTGTTTCCTCTTGGACCTTCGGCTCCTTGAATTCCTTGGGCTCCTTCTTGCTGGATTTCTTAGGCGGTGGAGCGGCTCCCCAGAAGCCCCAAGATGAGGTGTTAGTGCGCTCGACGCGAGCTCGTTCCTTCTTGGACGACTTTGGGGGCTCCTCGGCAGCCTCCGGTGGAGGTGTGGGAGGGGCGCCTTTATCCTCTTCTACTGGCTCTTCGGGCTCAGGTTCAGCCTCGGGAGCTGGCTCGGCTTCAGGTTCAGCTTCAGCTTCAGGCGCAGGTGGTTCCTCGGGTGGTGGCGGGGGAGTTGGGGGCTTAGCAGCAGCGGCTGCTGCTTGCAGCTTTTTATACTTCTTGAGTTCCTTCTTTGACATTTTTGAAAGGTCAGGCTCCGGTTCTGGTTCGGGGATTGGTTCTGGTTCTGGCTCGGGTTCCGGCTCTGGCTCTGGTTCCTGTTCAGGCTCAGGTTCGGGGTCATCACCGAAGTCTGGGAAGCTTCCTGGAACGGAATCTCTTGAATTTGACTTTGACTTGCTCTTTTTCGTCGGAGCAGGTTCTGGCTCCGGTTCTGGTTCAGGCTCCGGTTCAGGTTCAGGTTCAGGCTCAGGAGCTGGTTCGACCTTTTTCTCTTTGCTTTTACTTTTGCCCAACTTCTCCTCTTTGAGCTTGTCTTTCTTTGCCTGCTCTAGAGCCTTGATTCGCTCGGCAACGCTGAGCTTGGATGACTTGGACTTGGAACTCTTCTCGGGTGGAGGAGGTTCTTCCTTGACGGGTTCTGGTTCTGGTTCTGGTTCTGGCTCCGGGTCAGGATCTGCTGGAGGGTCATCACCAACATCGATAAGCAGGTCTTCCTCAATAGGCTCGGGCTCCTTCTTCTCCTCCTTGGTCTTCTTCGTCGATTTCGATTTGCTTGTTGAAGTACCTGTTAAAGTTGACCAGAAACTTTTGGAGGTCTTTTCCTCCTTAGGAGACTCAATAGCTTTCGTCTTCTTTGAGGTCTTGGCCTTGGGAGCTAGCTCTGCCCATATATCATCACCATGGTCATTCATAGCCTCAGGCTCGGGAGTCAAGCCCTGGGCAGGAGGAGTCGGTGCAGGTGGAGGCGGCTCTTCGATATCCTTGCCTTTCTTCTTTTTCTTCTCCTTGGTTACGCCCCATCCCCAGCCATCATCTTCAGCCGGTTTCTCGGGCTCCGGTTCTGGTTCTGGTTCTGGTTCCGGCTCGGGTTCGGGCTCAGGTTCAGGTTCAGGTTCGGGGGCAGGTGGTTCCTTGGGCTCATCGGATGGGAGTTCGAAGTCCTTGCCCGGGATGGGCAAACCCTTTCGTATCAATTGCTTTTCTCGCTTCTTACGTTCCTTGGAAGAAATGTCCTTCCAATTTTCGTATAGAGGATCGTCAGGAACTGCTTTCTCGGGCTCAGGCTCGGGCTCTGGTTCCGGCTCAGGTTCAGGTTCGGGCTCAGGTTCTGGCTCAGGCTCCGGTTCGGGTTCAGGTTCAGGGATGGGTTCAGGCTCGACTTTGCCCTTCTTTTTCTTCTTGTCCTTCGTAGACACGCCCCATGAGAAACCAACATCGGCTATAGGTTCTGGAGATGTCTCCTCGACCACAGGCTCCGGTTCCTTGGATTTTTTGTCCTTTTTCTTGACTGCTGTACCCCATCCACCCGTCCAGTCATCCGCTGGTGGAGGATCTGGAGCTGGTTCTGGATCAGCCAAGAGGTCAATCTTCTTCTTGTCCTTTAACTTGGATCCGGTGAAGCCAAAGTCATTTTCTGGCTCGGGAGACTTCTCAGGCTCAACGACAACTTCCTCCGCGGCTTGGGCTTGGGCTTGGGCTTCTGCTTGTTCCGCTGCCAATTTTGCCAAGGCTTCATCCTCATCTTTCCACTTCTTCTCCATTTCCTTCTTCGCCTTGCGCTGTTCCTTCTTAGATAAATTCAGGTACCATGCTTCTTGCGTGAAGTCGGGTCTCGGCGGAGGAGCTGGAGGAGCCGGAGGGGGTGGAGGAGGCACAGGCTCTGGTTCCGGCTCGGGCTCAGGCTCAGCTTTGCCCTTCTTTTTCTTGTCCTTGGTTGAGATATCCCAGCCTCCCCAGTCATCCTCTTGTTTCTCAGGCGGAGCATCCAAGTCACCAAAATCGAATCCGCCAGCAGCTGTTTTGGATGACTTCTTTTTCGTGGAGCCCCAAGGATTGTTGTCATCTTTAGGAGGCTCATCGAGGACATCAAGCTTACCGCCAGTATTCCAATCTTTGCCCCAACCCCCAAAGCTGAATCCAGTTCCGCCAGTCTTAGGAGCCGGAGTATCAAAATTCAAGTCCAGCTGCGGTGCACCGCCGTCCAAACTTACATCCTGGAATCCTCCAGGGGGTCCTTCGTCCTGTGGTCCTATTTAGAGAAGTCCAGCTTGGAATTGAGAAGCGCGGGTTCTTACCTTGCTCTTCTTTTTTTTCCCTACGGTGTTAAACCCGGCCCACGAGTCATCACCACCACCAGCGTCATCAGCCCAGCTGAGATTTTTGGTAGCAGATTCTTCGGCGGCCCTTCGTTCTTCTTCCTCTTTAGCGACTCTTTCCGCCTCTTCCTCTTCCTCTTTCTTCTTCTTGTCCTTTTTCTTCCCGCTCACATTCCAATCACCCCAGTCATCACCTCCGTCACCTCCGTCACCCCCGTCACCGCCATCTCCGGCACCACCTGCATCACCAGCGCCGCCACCGTCACCTCCTCCGTCACCATTGGTCTGCTCGTCCGCCGGAGGATCCGAGCCACCACCGGCTGGCGGAGAAGGAGGCGGAGCCGCCTTTTTTGCAGCAGGCTTTTTCTTCTTGTGTTCCCTCACACCAGTCAAATTCTCGAAATCAATGCGAACATCCAACATGCGATCTTCCAGCAATGCTGACGACTTCGTAAGCGATTTATCTCGAGGAGTCTGCGGCGCGGAAGAAAGGACCCCATGTTTGCGCTGTGCGAGCGGAGGAAGAGCAGAGTATTCGGGAGGAAGATCGTGAACCACATCGTCGTAGGAAGGCGGCTGGTCGTACAACCTTGGCTCTGGGGCGCGCGAACTCAATTGGGCCACCAGATCAGGTTTCCCAGGACGGAGGTTCACCCCCAGAACAAACGTAGCCCAGACATCGTCAATGACTCTCTCCCCCTCGGTTCCCAGATTCTTGGTGTGGTATGCGACATCCTCCAGACTGTGTATCTTCCCCGCGCCTGCACGATAAGACCCCTCCATAACCTCCATATCGAAATCACATGCGATGGCACAGTCCAATCACTGATCTGTCGACTCCGCGATTCCTGAGTGCGAACGCATCGGGGTGCGGGCTTGTGTGTCGAGTTCCGCGGGGGATGGACCCCAATCGGCAACAAACAGGCGGGGGCGAGCGAGTATCTGGGCGCGGAATGGCACGATGGGCTGTCGCAGTGCTAGGATGCGCAAACAAGCGTTCGATTTCGGGTAGATTGGTGGCAAGGTCGAAATTTAAACGTCAGATGTCAATAAAGAGCAAATAGCCTCCCTGCACGACCGGCGCTAGTTCAGTGGTTGTTTCGCGTGTGCGATAAGACCTATATGAGATCCGAGACAGATTAGAAACGCACGGGGGTGTGTGTGTATGAGTATAGGAGTCAAGGGAGGAAAGGGAAAAGTTGGTATCAGCTGGAGGCAGGGATGGAAGTAGTTGGGGCGGTGGAGGTGAAGATCATCTCTCATCTATGCCTCGGGCTAAGGAATGAGATTTCTTCCCAATTTGACGGGGATATTTATTTTTTGGGTAGTCTCACCATTCTATGTTTCAACAGCTATTCCTTGAGAATACCAATAGCAAAACAAACGACTCGACAGGAAAGTCAACTAAAGCAATAAACAGGATGGCTGGGATGAACGGGATCACCATTTAACTTTTTTCCTGCTATGTGTGTACTCCAATAGGCTTACATTCTGCATGGCATACTATAGGCACAGACTGTGATATCCATGCAGTCTGACTGTCCTATAGATCATCAGACACCCCCTCCATCAGCACTGCAGGTATACATACACCAGCCACTTACTACTGGGATCGCAGTTTCCAATTTTCACTACACTGCAACCATGGCACGACCGTCGCCATCCATGGATCACTCTGGAATAGACTGTTTGGTTCCGTGGGTGCCCAAACTAGCGGGGCTTACCCGTCTGCATGGAATAAACAAACATGCAGTACGGAGTATACAATGCAGGGTCAATGGTGGGTGTGGTGTACTTATAGTTCTATTGACTGCTGTATAGCAGCCGAAGAACACATCACATTTCACCCTCTTTCGACGAGATCTATTCTTTAATTGGCGCTGAAGCTGTTGACTCCTCATGTTTCGGCCTAATCAATTCGATACTTTATCTACGCTAGATCGCTCTGGCGCTCTGCAAGTGCAGCACATCGGTTGCTCACCGCCACTTGTGCGCCGGAGCAAAACAACCACCAGTGCGGGGGTGTGGAGAGCCCGTGGCAAGAAAGTTGAATGTCTCTTATGACTCAGACTATGTGATACTGTACAGTAAGGTGGAATCACACTTGAATCGGAAACGGAGGAGGTATCCATTGGAAGATGGCTTTTTCTAAGAATAATCGTCTGCAGAGCATCCACACCCAGAAACAGCAACTATAGAGAAACAGTGACATGAAACTACAATACAGCGACAAACGAAAAGGGAATTGAGCGACAGGGAAGCTGAAACACGCGGCATGTAACATACACCAGACCGAGAGGGTACCGTTTTCTGGGAGAACCTCCCAGCTCGAACACCAGACTAGCCAAGATAAATCAAAGATCAAGTTAGGATGAAGCCTCGGCCGCCTTAGACTTTGAGGGTGGAGCTGGGGTTCCATAAACCTCCTGGTGCTCTCTCTCGTATCGCGCACGATCTTCAATTGACAATTTGTGGTAGGGCTATTGCGACGATTAGTTTATGCAGTTCAAGGCTTGTCCAATGGGTCCATACCTCTTTCTCTGCCTCGGACATTGCCTTCCATTCTCCAGCAATGACGCTAACTCGTTCACGAACAGCCATATGCTGGTTGTCGCTGGACTTCAGACCTTCAGTGCAGTAAAAGGTGTAGGCGCTGGAAGGCCTTCTGACCAGGCGCTCATCTTGGATTAAGGTCCAGCGCTTGCTGTGGGGCTTGCCTTCAAGACGCGTAAGGGACAGACGGGCGATGTTGGCTTTTTTGATTTGGAGAGGGGTGTGTGAGTTCAGCCAATCTTCATACGAAGCTTTATTGGCGGCTTTGTTCTCCTCGGCCTGCGCTCGGTATTTCTGTACTGGGAAATTAGTACACTGACAACAGCGACAAGTGCTTTGTAACGTACCGCTTCATTCGGGACGGGTTTGAGCATCTCGGCGGCGGCCTTAACGGCGTCCCTCTGGTTGGGATACTGTCCCTTGATTTCGTTGATCTTCTCATGGAGAGCAATGAAGAAGTAGTTTTCAAGACGACCCTTGGGCACTTCCAGGGCAGTCTGCTTCAGCTGCTTGATGTGATCCTTGTGCTGACGGAGCTCCTTAGCTTCCTTTTGCTTCTCGGTCAGCGGCTTCTTCTTGGTCGAGCTGCTCTTAGCGGGCTTCCTGTTGTCGGTCTTCGCCTTGGTCTTCTTTGGCTTGGGGGAGGTATCAGTCGCAAACGACTTGGATTGCGAGAGCGATAAAACGGCGGGGATACGCTGGAGCTGGGGGCGCGCCTGGCGTACGTTGGCAGCCAGACAAAGGTGACGAAGCTGGTTCTGCACGCCGATCATGGCATTAGGGCGAGTGGAAGCACCGAAGTGCAAGGGTCTGAGGAGGGCCCCTCGAGCTGCGGACTGCCAAGGCATGATAAATTGTAAAAGTAAACTGAGGCTTGGAGTAAGAGGTCTAGTACAGCTGTAAATTAAAGCAGCAAGGTAGAGGGCACCACAAGAGCTTCTGACGCAAGCGGAGAGGGAGGCTGGACGGCGCGTGCCCTTCGTTTGGATCTATCCGCATCAGGTTAGCTCAATAACCAGATCACGTGACCCATTCTCCACGATTGCTTCAGCACTTCTCGGGTCACGACGTTTGGTATGTTTGTTCTCACGGCGTAATTTTGTCGACCTGAGAGCTTGTTTTTGCAGAGAGGCGACGCTTACTCTTCCAACGCTCGGTACCCCGAGTCCTTTTGAGCTTCAGTAACACTCACTAATCAGCCTGGAACAATGGCACGGCACGGGGATACTCGCTCACCATCACCTGTAGGCAGCACATACTCTTCATCCAGACGCAATCGCCGTGATGATGATCGCTATGAGAGAAGCCGGCGGGATGATGGGCGCGGTTATCGCAGATCCCGCAGCCCAGAGGTACGTGTGGCGAATCGCAAGACATTTTCAAAGCAAACTTCTGACCATGGATGTGTTATACAGAGGCGCTACCGCGAGCGCGAGCGTCCTCGTGACAGAGATGGATACAGACGCCGTGACCGCTCGCTAGACCGTCGCGACGAAGACAGCTACCGACCGGGTCGCAAAGACCGATCCCGAGACCGCCGGCGCTCCAGAGACCGAAACGAAGACGTTGATCGCCGACAAAGTCGTGACGGAGATTACCGGGCCAGGCGAGATGATTCCCGCGAGCGGGATCGCAGGCGGATAGATGGTTCTGCTGATTTGAAGCCGAAATCTAGACGGGATGCCAGTCGTGATCGTGCGATGAACAGACGGTCAAGGTCCAGAACTCGGGAGGTATGTCACCAGAAAACCGCTTTTTCCAGAAGTGTAATATTAACGCTCTTTATAGCCATCCAAACCATCCACACCAGCTCCCACCGCACAGACCGACGAAGCGAAAAAAGCGGAGAGGCAAGCGAGGCTGGAAGCATGGAAGCAAAAACAGGCTGCCGAGCGCGAGCGCAAACAACGAGAGCAAGAAACGGCGGGCCCGAAGACTATCCTGGACGAGCTTGACCGTCAAAAGGGATTCTCCCCAGCCGTGGGCTCACCCCAAACCCCTGTGACCCCCGCCGAGTCCCCAGCTCCCGCTGCATATCCTGGAAAGTTCGATCCCAAAGCTATCGCGAAACCATCGACAACAAATTCTGCCACTCCCGCAGTTCTTGGAACCGACGTTGCGGTGCCAATGTCCAAACTGTCCGCGACAGCTAACAAACCTGCTCCTGCGCCTGCCAAGCTTTCAGGTCCTTTGAAAGCCAAAGGTAACGTTAGCGGGTTTGGCTTGGGTGCCAAACAAGCCTCTGACACCGAGAAGCCTTCCGCGCCTATAACTCTGGGCTTTGGCGAAGAAGAATCCACCCGCAAAAAGTTGGAGCGACTACCGACTCCGCCTATTGATGACTCTAAAGATACCGAGCCAGCAGTAAACGATGCAGGCGAAGATGACGATGTTGACATGCACGACGAGGGGACGGAGGAAAAGGCTGCAGCGGTAGCACGTGCCGCTGCTGAGCGACGAGAAGAACGACTTCAGAACACCGAAAATGGAGATGTCCACATGGAGGACTCGACAAATGGACAAGCCGATTCTACCCCCATGGAGGTCGACGAAGCCGACGAAGTCGACCCTCTGGATGCTTTCATGTCCGAGCTGCAAGACACCGCACCTCGAAACAAGACATCAGGTGCCAAGTTCGGGAAGAAAAAGGAGTCACATCAACCAGAGGCCATGTTCGGAGACGATGAGGATGTGGATGTCACCGCAGTTGGTGCTGATGATGCTGCCGATGACCTCCTCGCCATCGCGAAGAAGAGAAAGAAGCGGGAGCTCCCCACAATTGACCATGCCAAGATTGAGTATGAGCCATTCCGCAAAGACTTCTACACCGAGCCTTCCGACCTTGCTGGTATGACTGAGGCGGAGGTTGCAAATTTGCGTCTCGAATTGGATGACATCAAGATCCGTGGTTCTAACGTGCCCACGCCTGTTCAAAAGTGGTCCCAATGCGGACTGGGCGTGCAGACCTTGGACGTCGTCCGCAAGCTTGGCTACGAGAGCCTCACCTCCATCCAAGCCCAGGCAATCCCTGCAATCATGTCAGGTCGCAACACCATTGGTGTGGCTAAAACTGGCTCCGGAAAGACGGCCGCTTTCTTGATCCCAATGTTCCGACACATCAAAGACCAACGGCCCTTAGCTGCAATGGAAGGCCCTATCGGGTTGATCATGACCCCTACCCGTGAATTGGCCGTTCAGATCCACAAGGACTGCAAGCCCTACCTGAAGGCTTTGAATCTTCGGGCAGTTTGCGCGTATGGTGGAGCTCCCATTAAGGACCAGATTTCGGACTTGAAACGAGGAGCTGAAATTGTTGTTTGCACGCCTGGTCGCGTCCTTGATCTGCTAGCCGCAAATTCAGGTCGTGTCCTCAACCTGAACAGGGTCACGTATGTCGTCCTGGACGAGGCAGACCGCATGTTTGATATGGGCTTTGAACCGCAGGTCATGAAGATTATGAACCGCATCCGACCTGATCGCCAAACTGTACTGTTCTCAGCTACCTTCCCCAAGAGCATGGAATCTTTGGCTAGAAAAGCATTGACCAATCCCATCGAGATTACCGTTGGTGGGCGAAGTGTCGTAGCGTCGGAGATCACTCAAATCGTTGAGGTTCGCAATGAAGACAAGAAGTTTGTTCGCTTGCTGGAACTCTTGGGTAACTTGTACTCCGATGATGCCAATGAGGATGTCCGCTCTTTGATCTTCGTGGAACGTCAAGAGGCTGCCGATACTTTACTCCAAGAACTGATGCGCAAGGGCTATCCGTGTATGTCGATCCACGGTGGAAAGGACCAGATTGATCGTGATTCCACCATTGAAGATTTCAAGGCTGGTATTTTCCCTGTCCTGATTGCCACGTCTGTCGCCGCTCGTGGATTGGATGTTAAGCAACTCAAACTGGTAGTCAACTATGACGCCCCCAACCACATGGAAGATTATGTTCATCGTGTTGGTCGAACCGGTCGAGCTGGAAACACTGGAACTGCGGTGACCTTCATCACCGAAGATCAGGATCGGTACGCAGTTGATATTGCGAAGGCTTTGAAACAAAGTGGACAAGAAGTGCCTGAGCCAGTCAAAAAGCTGGTTGATGGGTTCCATGAAAAAGTCAGGGCCGGAAAGGAGCACAAAGCTGGAAACAACGCTGGTTTCGGTGGTAAGGGCCTAGACCGACTTGATGAAGAACGTGAAACTGCCCGCATGCGCGAGCGGCGCACATACAAGACTGGCGACAACGACGACGAAGATGAGGAGAGTGAGGACGATGAAGAGAAGAAGGAGGATCGCTTCAACAAGGCTCTGTCCGCCGTCCAATCTGCAGCCGCACCCGCCGCGCCCTCAGCTTCCCTGCCCGGCGTTCCAAAGGGTATCGATCTGGACGGTAAGATTACTGTCCACAGGACAGAGAAGGATCCCGCCTCTGGACCCAAGAACGCGCTGGACAAGGTTGGCTCTGCTGTTGCAAGTATCAACGCACGTCTCAGCCGCGCAGGTGTGATGAGGTCGGGTGTCCCCATCGACAACCGCGGACCTGATGCCGGCGCATTCCACGCGACCATGGAGATCAACGATTTCCCTCGTAAGTTCCATCCTCTGTTCCAAATACGTTGGATCAATGCTAACAATCTTGTTTCACACAGAGAAAGCACGTTGGGCCGTTACCAATCGCACGAACGTCGCCAAGATCCTGGAATCCTCAGGCACCTCTATCACGACAAAGGGCAATTTCTACGCAAATGGCAAGGAACCCGCTCCTGGCGAGCTTCCCAAGCTGTACATTCTGGTGGAGGGTGAGACTGAAATCTCTGTCACTAATGCTATGCGTGAGTTGATGCGCCTGTTGAAGGAGGGAACGATTGCGGCTGCGGACAGCGAGGCGCGTGCCCCTGTCGGTGGCCGTTACAACGTGCTTTAGTTTGCTTTTCCACGGTGAGCAGATCATGTTTTCAGATCTGATTGTACAATACCCTCAGTGTCTCGGCTCGCGTACATTGCCAGACGGCTGAATCTATCATGTTGATATGTCCACAATAATTCTTCGTAATACCTAGAAGTAGACAGTAGAGGCAGTTTTATAATAAGAGAGCCGGCAGGGCAAATTATGGCCAAAGGTATACAAGCGGTGGATGAAGTGTGAGATAAGTAATAATAACAGTAGTGTTGTAGCAAGTGTAATGAAGCGAAGGATACTTGATGAATGCCAAAACCCCGAACGGGCAGCCAGGCAAGGCTTGAAATGGCCGGGGGTGAGGTCGGGGCGACGGCGTGACGAACTGACGGGCTGACGAGGTACCGGGGATATACGCCGCGGAAGAATCACAGGGAAGGTGGACAACGTCTTACAGTAGCCCCACAACTAAGACCTAGCTAGGAAAGAAATGCTACGTTTACTGTTTTGTACTGTTTACTGTTCATATCCTCTTCTCCAAGCTCGAGCCACTGGCCCGAATATTGATGAAAAGAAAAAAAAATCCACGAATGGAGAGTGCCAAAGAATACGCCTGTCAATGACCCGAAAGCCATTGAACAAACTGTTCCGCCGCGCAGTGCAATGCAGGGACCAGACTGTGGTGAGCCGCCTTGATGATCGCAGCTACCCAAACAAGGTAAGTATGAAGAAGAAAGAAAAAAAAAAAAGAGGAAGGATGGGGAAGGGCGAGGTATTTATACCCGCCAGCTGGCCAGCAGATCACATGATGTCACATGAACTACAAACAACCCCCTTGTAAACATCGCCTGCAGAATACACGCTACAACGTACAAAATAAGAAATTACCACACCCAATCAAGGAGTACAGATGCATCAGAGCCCCCTACAATCATCCCCTTGATCTAAACCCCTAGA